GCCCCCACACAGGTAAGTATGAGTTACCTACACAAATGTTTTCCTTCCTCATAACCCCCTTCTCTGCTGCCCACTGGGTCCCCGCCATACATCCCTTCCCAGCATCTCCATCTGCCTTAAGCAGCACCACCAACAGTGATCTGAAGGGAAGGGGAAGTGGCTTTAATCTCATTTTGTGAGGGAAGGGAGAATTTTATTATCCAAAAAAAGCTCTGAGGGAGTTTTCACATGTCGGAGCAACATGAAAGTCCTGTGGGATGGAGGACAGCCTTCCCAGACACTTCTGTGCTGATGTGGGAAATCAGGAGATACTTTTGTTAGCTGCTCTTTAAAAAAAAAAATAAAATCAGATACTATTTGGAGGCTGGTAGTAGGTAAAAGAGAAACTTGTATGGTTTTGCCTTTAAGAATGCTGGTATACTGGAAACCCAAACATCATGGAAATTCTCATTAACTTTCAGCATATATTTGATTTTTAGAGATGTGAAGCAACTCTGACCCAGTCCACAGAAGTTACTCCTTTCTTCAGCTTACATAGAAACAACTATTCTGGGTCATGCAAAGTAGCTGCCCGGGTCGGGATCCTGTTCCCACTGTGGTTATTAATGGATGTTTGGAGACAGCGCAAGCACTCTGTCCTCTGCAGCCCCTGTGCAGTCCCAGCGCATGAATCCATGCTCTGGAGCGGTCGCTGTGTGAGCCCACACTGGGATAATGGTCACAGCATAATACTTAGAATAAGGAAAAGCTTTGTTTTGTGTTGTTTTGTGTTGTTTTGTTTCGTTTCCAGCGGTTGCACAGCCTGCTAAGCGGGTCATTGCGATGCTAGGGGCTGTCCTCTGCAGTTGGTAGGGCTGAGTGTGAGGGACCACAGCCATCTGGTGGTCAGAAGCCAGGAGGCAGCGTTCGTTCCTTACAGAACAGCAAGATTAGACAACGCTTTCTAAAAGGGGAAGGTGTTTAAAGGAGTTCTTTCTAGTGGTGTCATCTTATTTTTTCACAATCATAAAGCATTTTTTGCCAATGACAAACCCCTGGTCTCTACTTACAATAATCCATTGCAGACCTGGCAGGTTGGTTGGTTTTCCTCCTCAAAAGAAACCTTGCAATATGATTCAAGCTATCACTGATATAACCTATAACAAGTACAACAGTACGAATTTGGGCATGGAAAGACTCTATGCCCTCGTCCCCATTCTTCGTATTGTCAGGTACATCATCTCTGTAGGACAAATCTCTGCCCTGGGTGTCCTGCAGGCTGGCTGCGTTTTGGGGAGGGCACAGGCTCGCTTGGAGAGACACGGGTTTAGGGTCATCTCTAAACTGACCCCATTGGCAGACACCAAAACTGCATCCAACATGTCATTCCCATGACAAAAATAGAGCTGAGTCCATTCCCCTGTGCTCAGGTCTTCTTCGGGGACAGTGCCCTCTTGGCTTTGCCAGCTCCTTTGCTAGCTGTTTGGGGAGGAATTAAACAAGGTGAGGGTGGAAAAAGGGGTCCTTACCCTGAGGTAGGCTCAGGACATGCCGGGGGAAGCAAGGAGGAGCTTCAACTCAGGGTATACATTTAGGAATGGCTTTGTTTAACTTTCAGGGGCAGCAGCCTGCAATGCACGGAGGGAGCTGGAGACACCAAGAACTTTAAGTGCTCTCCGAGGCATGAACTGGTGTTCAAAACATGGTGTGAGCAGGCTGGTGTCCTTTGCAAATGCTGAACAGTCACCAGAAGCCCTCCCTTCCCAGCAGAGCCAGGCAGCCTGAGTCCAGGCACTGACAAGAGGTGTCAGAGACCTTGATCCAGAGGCCATTCTGGCCCCACAGTTGCAAACCCCTCCAGCCTGGGCACCATCATGCCTCTGCTTTTGCTTCTTCTCTTGCAGGAGATGCAGGAGGGGAAGCTCAGCATTTTGCCCGTTTGCCTTTCCTCCTTGTTCTGTTTGCCTGTTGAGACTGGCAGGAGGGAAGATGCAGAGACCCTTGCGTCTCAACCCTGAACCCCATCTCACAGGAGCCCTTGCAGGTCTGCAGCACTGGAGGGGTGCTGTGCTGCCGGCAGCTCTTGGTCCCTCGTGTCCCCTGACTTTGAGTGTCCTCCTGCGAGCCACAGTCCCAGCACAGAGCCTTTGGTGCAAGCCCTGCATGCTCTGGCTGGGGCAGGGGGGACCTGCTCTCAGGGAGCTGAGTTCTGCTCTGGGTTTGCTGCAGGGTGACAACAGAGGCCAGAGCCAGAGCTACGTGGGCAAATCCAGCCTCTCCGCCCAGGTTTCACTTCCAGCATCTGCTGGGACAAGGATGCTTTGGAGGATCAAAACCAAAGATGGTATTTCAGGAAGCTGAGTGTGGCAAAAATGGACCTGTGATAGAGCTCTGCAGCTGGGCCACCCCCCAGCATTTACCTGTGCTTGCTGCATGAAGCCATCATAGAATCACAGACTGGTTTGGGTTGGAAAGGACCTTAAGATCATCTAGTTCCAACCCCCTGCCATGGGCAGGGACACCTCATGCAGCTGGTAAGGCAGACACTTGCAGCTCTTAGGCTGTGCTGCTCAGAAGGTGCTTTGCATCTTCATTCCATCTAAGCCCTTCTTCGATGAGGAACATGGGGTGCTGTGGTGCAGTGAAGTCCTGCTGCAGAACTGGCTGCAGGAGGAGCTCAGAGACGGAGCCACAACTGTTCAGCTTCAGGTAGCCTCCAGCAGAGAACTCTTCTGGGGCAGGACACGCAGCTTTTGGGCTCATTAGGCTGGACTTTCACCTCCCACCACCTCCAGAAGATAGCAAGCACACCCTGCTTTGAGGAGCGCTGTTCAAAGAGGGTTATATTAAATACACAATACTATCTATCCGATTCAGAAAGGAGGAGGGCTCTCCCCTGGTTCCTCACAGAGGCATTGGCAATCCAGTAGAATTGGAAATGGTGATTCATTTTTCCAAGGGACAAACTGTCCAAGGATAGTATGTGCTGGTCCAGCTTGGAATGCTGAAGTCACAATGCCTTTTCCCACCCCACAACTGCTTACGTTGAAGGAAACCCAGCATCATGTTCTTTCCAGCCCTGCTGCCACCAGCTGCAGGCCAGCTTCGCTCATAGCTCTTATCCTCAAGCATCCATCAGCCTGAGCTTGGTGTGGCTGAGACTGCAGTACAGGCGTAGGGGAGAGGGAGGTGCTGACATCTGGACAACAGAGAAGTTGTGGATGCTCCATGTTCAAGGCCAGGTTGGACGGGGCTTGGAGCAACCTGCTCTAGTGGAAGGTGTCCCTGCCCGTGGCAGGGGGTTGGAACTAGATGAGCTTTAAGGTCCCTTTCAACCCAAACCATTCTGTGATTCTATGGTAATTTAACTCCTTCCTACAATTCTGGGGCTCAGATGACACTATCAAGTTGTTCAATCTCCTTTTAAGAATCCTTCCCCCAGCCCCCACTCAGCTGGACATGAAGGGATGGCATGGGGAAAACTGAGGACATCCTGTGGATACCAGAGTGCCCTTTCATAGCAACTCTATTTCTTGCATGTCTTTAAGTGACTCATGGGCTGCAGTGTGGGTATTGGATCTGGTCACAAGGCAGAGAGGGAAAATAGAGGAGGTAGGTCGCCCTCTTGCTATTTTGAGATGGGCTGTAGTCACCACCCCCGTGAGCACCTGCCTTGGCTTGCAGCACCCCTGGGCCCCATGCCATGCCTCATCTCAGCACCACAGTGCCCTTGCCTTCTCATGGAGAGCAAATGTGGGGGCACAGCCTCCTCTCCCACACAGGGTCCTCCCCTCCCCAACACCAGCACACAGCACACGCACATCTTCAAGGGAGGCTCAAGACTTTGCTCCTTTAATGTGCAATAAAAAAAGGCAACCCTCCTGCACTTGACAAGAAACTCCATGAGCAGGAGCCCCGGGCTTGGCATCCTCCTCCCTGGCTGCCTTTATCGGTGGGCAGCATGTGTGGGCTACTCAGAAAGGTTCTCCTCCCCATCAGCAAAGGAGCTCCTGGCTGCTGCAGGGCTGCTTTGCTGGCATGAGATGACTGATGTCTCGCTTCAACTCTGTGCCCACCAGCTGAATAAGTGATCCCAGCAACAGCAGGGTGTAACAGCGTCGATGTAAAGGCCTCCTGCTTTAGGGAGCGGCACACACAGCTACCCTAAGGGAGTCTATAGCACTGGCCTGATCAGACACTTCAGTGAGACTCCCCACACCACAGCATGATGTGGTGAAAGGCATCAGTGGATATGCGAGATAAAGAGGGGAGAAAAGTGTAATAATGGGAGAATTAAATTAACTGCAAAGAGTTTGCTGAAGGCACATCCTACCCCTTAGCAGACAGCCCCTTCAGCCTGGGGTACCACTCGCAGCTCAAGTCCTATGTGCAGCGAGAGCTTTGGTAACTGGCTGTCATGCAACAGAAACATTCAGGCTCTGGGTAGGATTATGGATAAAATAATGGGGAGGGGGAGGAAAGGAAGAGGAAGAGAAGGGTTTGTGAGTGGGAAGGTATTGCATACCACAAGCACTTGTGCAAGAGACACTAGAGCAAAACGGCACCTCTAACGTTAATGTTCCTCCTCTGCCACCTGTAATGCTTTGCATCCCCATGCTTTCCTGTCTAACACTGTCAGGCAGAGGGGTGGAGGGATGGGGTGAGGAAAAAGGCAGGCAGGAATGATTTCAGCCTCTCCTGTTTCTTGGGCAAGAGCTCCATCTACCTCACTGGAGAGGAGGATGGGCAGCTTCTCTGGCTTTGCCCACACTGTACCAAAAGAAAAGCCCACTGAACTCCCACACTCTCTAGCAGCTTTGAAAACCCCCTTCACAAGTATATTGTGTGACATCCCTAAACACAATAAAGATTATCTGAAATCTTAAAGCAGCTTAAACATAAAAACAACTCAAAGGGAAAACAGGAAGAGAGTGGAGGAAGGGGACAGAGTCCTTCCCCTGCTGGCCCCTGGTCAGAGGCAAGCGAAACAGCACACACAGCCTCTTGCTCCACAACACACCAGTCCATAGCATTCACAAGGCAAACATAGCATCATCTTCCTTTGCTTGCTTCCGATGATGGCTGGCAGCAGGAGGGGAGACGGACGTCCCTGATGAGGAGCTGGACAAGGTGGGCAGCCGGTCTGCAACTTTTGCTCGCTCTTCCAAGAACTTGTCAAACTCTGGGCAACAGAAGAGCAGAACATTAGAAAGGAGGCTGGTTTGTGGAAACCAAGGTGCTGCCAGGAACAGCTGGAGAAAGGGGTTGGCTTGCAAGTCTTACCTTCACTGGTGACCCCTTTTGCATCCTCTGACTCTCCCTGGGGAAGGAGAAGGGCATGGTTAGAAGCAAGGTAGACAAAGGCATCTCCATGTCTGCACGGAGAGAGACAGGATAGCGTTTCCCCTACTTCTGCATACAGACATGTTAGAGTGGCCTTGAGCCTCATTCACCAGCTATCCCTCCCAGAAGGCTAATTATACTGGTGTGCTACCCCAAACCCTGTATCCTTGGCTTTTCCTCCCCTGCTCCTGCTGAGCAGATTCAGCAGTGCCAGTGCTGTTGTACAGTGCCTAAAATCCAGCCTTGCAGACAACTCTGGCAAGACTGCTGGCTCCAGGGGAGCAGTCCCTCACTTACAACATCAGTGGAGAGCCACTTTTCTATGTCTTCCATGAAATTGGCTTGGGGAACCGGCACCTAGGATAGAAGGAGAAAGAGTGGTGAGGCCAAGAGGGGATACTCCAGAAACCCACTCTGCAGAAAGCAAGCCCAACCCAAAAGCTGACCTTCTTGTTCCACTGTTCAGTCTGCTCAGGCCCTTCTCAATCCAGCCAGCACCACTGCAAAGCTCTCCCAGCTACCCCTGCCACCGCTCACCTGCTTCCTCTGCCCCACACACACCCAGACACACATAGCTTCCATGATACATGCCAGTAAAAGCATCTGGGGTTTGGTGGTTGGCTTTGGGGTATTAACACTGGACCAGGCTTCCCATTTTGGTGAGGACTCACTAGGTGGAAGTTAGCTGCTTGTGTTAGGCAGCCAGAGAACAAGAGGTGTGCTTTTTCCCACACTTCCTCTCTTCTACAAACCAGTCACAAAGTCTGTGATGCTGAAGATATTGGACATGCCAGGTCTGGCACACAATAAGGGGGAAAGGCATCTGCCAAGAAGTGATTCCCATGGAGCACAGCAAAGAGACACCTTCCTAGTGGACAGAGATAACCTTGGAGGAAATCAAGCCTGATTGCAAACCCCAGATCCTTTTCTCCAGTCATGAGCTCCTGAACAAAGCTGAGCAAGGAGCAGCCCTTGCTAGAGGCTCCACAAGCAGAAGCATGAGAGAGTATTTGTGGGTAGTTACTTATTCGTGTCCCAGTATGTATAGCTCCCTTGATCTCAGGAAAACAGCAAAACCAAGAAAAAGAGCAATGCCTTCTTCCCAAGCACAGGCAAATTTCCCCAAACCAGGGAGCAGATTAATTACACAGCTGGCAGATGGATGAATGGCGATGAAAGAGGATGTGTGAGATTAGGGAAGTTTCGAAGCAAACTGGCTTTTTCTACCCAGAAAGGAAGTCTTTGGGGTAGAAATGCATTCAAGCCAACTGGACAGCATGTGGGGAAACTTCCTAGAGCAGACATCAGTTTGGGCAGTGTCCATTTCAGGAATACAGGCTAACAAGCTTCAGACCTGGGAGTGCGTCAAAGCCTCAGTGTGCCTGAGGGGACATAACTGCAGCAATCCCTACAGCCAAAAGACTGAATTCAACAGCCTGAAGGCTCAAACAATTTAGAGGAGGAGGCCTTGAACAGGGTAAAAGCCAGAATGTTTTCCTCCCAATGGGGCAGCTCATGCTGAGCAGGAGAGGATGCAAGGGGAATGAATGGCAGCAGCCTTCCTCATTGATGCCACCAGCTACTGCCTCTGCCCCAGACACCCACCTCAAAACAGGCCATCCTCTATCTCAAAGAGTGGCACACGCTCTCCTGGCCTCAGAGCTCCTATGATTTTTTCTTAGAGTCATGTTTACTTGAGGAAGGACTGAGTGTCTGCCTGCTTCCTTCCCAACCCTGGTCTCCACTACTGGTCCAGACCAGGGTTGCTCCATTTCAGTTTGCAGCCTCTGCTGATGTTTGCTGTGCATCCTCATGTGCTGTGCCAGTGCCACTTCTAGTTGAGCAGCCCCAGCTTCCTTCCTCCTTCCTGGCACTCCACGATCTCACCATTCCTTGCCGCATCATCCACTTAGTCAGGTGGGCTCCATCACTAGAGGCACCAGACTCCCCCTGCTTGAGAGACAGTCTGCACTGAAAGCTGCTATTGCAGAAGGTGAGGGAGAGGGAAGGCAGTGGGTTTAGGGTATGGGAAAGAACACACTAGTGCTGGTGGCCCACTTCTTTTGTTGCAGAGAGAAGGCAACTGGACTTGGAAACCTGCTGACGTGGGGTAAAACTTACATTTCCAGGTGGAAATTCCCTGCAGATACAAAGAGGCCATCCTGATACTCACTAAGTCAACCCCAGACTTCCTGTAGTTCCCAACCCCTGGGGTTTAAAGAATGAGGCATATAGCCCAGGTAGGAAATGCAGGTTGGTGGAGACTGGGAGTCAGTTCTAACATCAGTCAGTATACCATCAGTCATGTTAAACACTTGATTTTTTTCCAAACAGACAGCACATTTATTGCATTCGTGAGCAAGAATACTTTCTATTTCCAGTGGTGCACTAAAAGCTCTGTGGCCACTCACCGTTCCTGTGTTCTGCTGCCGGGCACCCAGGGCACCAGCAAGTCCTTTGGAGGCTTGGGGATCTTCGTACTTCACCCTGAAAGCATGAAGTTAGATAACACACATGCTGATGAGATGACTGAGAGTGAAGAGCAGGAACTCCTAAACATATACTATGTGCTTCTGACTGCACAACTTTTCATGTCTCATCATTCTGTTCACATGAGCTTCTAGAAAGGTGTGCAAAACCCCTACTGAAGTTGTAGCCCACCACAAAACAGGCTAAACTACTCCCTGCAACATCATGGTGGGATACCACAGGACAGCCCTGGCACATGATAGGAGGATGACTAGGCAACATATGAAAACAACTACACAACAGACTAAAATGCAGACTTACAGAGCTGGGTGCATCAGTCATGACACTCATCTCTGGGGTTGACTACAGAAGAGAGGTAACTAACACAGACTGACCAGAAGATTGCAGCTACTTTAGAAAGGATTCGAGCAACAAGTCCCTACATACTCACCTATCTTCACAGACACAAACACAGCTCAAAAACATTTCTTTAACTGACACCACTCAAGAACTGGTGGTTCTAGAAAGGTCACCACTCAAGAACTGATGGCGCAGAGACTCACTGGTCTATGCTACCTACATAGGAGGTGAGACTGGATGATCAGAAGAGCCTAGTGCTGCTCCAGGATCTCCAAATGCACCATTACAGCAACCTCTTTCCACACACAGACATATCTCACCCATAATCTCCCTCATCCCATTTCTGTGTCCCCTTTAAGCTGCTACCACACATGCTAATGTCACACATCACCATTTGATCCATGCAGAGTGGAGGAAACAGTCTGTCCACGCTGGGAGGATGAAGCCTCTCCCAGAAACTCTCAAGTCTCCTCTGCAGCTGCTCCAGATCCAGCAGAACATCAGGTGGAGCTGTTTTTGTTGGGAGCCAGGGGCTTGGGCCACCGGCGCTCAAACTTCTCGAAGAAGTGCTCATCAGTGAAGGGGCCACTGTGGACAATGGCATCAAGGATGAAGTACAACGCTGCTATCATGCCACTGATGAGGAAGAATGGCAGGAAAGGCTTGAGGTGTTTCAAGCACTGCTTTGCCGAGACACACATGAAGCATGGGGGGGTCAGGAACAAAGCCCAGCGGCCCTGCCTGTGTCTTCTGCCAGCACGTCCCGTTTGAGAACAGCAGGGCAATGGGTCTGTTCGGATGGACGGAGACACTGAGAGCAGAGGCTGGGGAGTGAAATGTGAAGCCTGAGCCAGTGAGAGTAGAGGCTACCTGGCAGGAGTGCAAGTAGTAATGCAGATGGAGGAATAAATAGAAGATGTCTTGTTACTTGTGCAGAGATCATAAACCTCGGTCTGTTAAGGATTGCGCCACACCAGAGAGGATACGATTCCACCCATGTCCAGATCTCCCCCAGCCTCTAGCACTGAGCACATACTAGTGGCTCAGATTTCAGGCCCAGACTGGGTGCTGTTGTGACCACTGATTTTGTCCTAGACTTCCTCTGCCCTCAGGCAGCACACCCCACAGTAAAATCGGTGAGGAAACCCATGGGCAAAACACACGACGATGTGTGTCAGACAGGAGCTTCCCCACCACTTTTACCAGAAGCAGTCTGAGGCAGGGGAATGAAAGGAGACATCCTTAAGAGACCTTAACTTGCTGCTGTCCAGCTGCAGAACAAGGCACTCTAGTGGACAGAGATCAGAAGCACAGTTCTTTGGGGGCTGGAAGCAGCCATTTGCCTTTGGGCTTTACTGCTTGGAAACTGATAGAGAGCAGTGGATGACTATGACAGGCAAAACAGCACAAGATCAGCCTCAGTCCCTCAAGCCAAAGGGACCAGTCGGCGCAGCTCCTGTTGGCTCCTCCCAGAACAAGGATTCAGGAATCCACTCTTTACAGTAAAGACCTCTTCAGTCATGACTCTTCAGTTCAACCAGTACAATAGAGACCCAGATCTTAGTGCTTTACACCAGGTCTCAAACATATTATGGAGGAAGAAACATCAGTCCCACTTAACCAACAGGGAAGCTGAGGCACAGAGCAGTGCCCTGCATTGCAAGCCACAACTGACTGCATACTTCCTGCACTTCAGTTCATTACTCTGTCCATTAGGCTGCACTGATATTCAGCAACTCCCAAATTCAACATCAGCCCAGTCAGAGCACATGAGTTCAGAGACAGACAAGAAAACTCAGCCAGTCCCACTCTACACCTTCATCTCCAGACACTGGGTCTCCCTAGCATATGTCTCCACACACAGAGAACCATTTTGTTCTCCCTGTGCCCATGAGAAGGGGAGATGATGACAGCATGAAGAAGGACTGGGAACACAGAGGTCATCCTACAAGCACTGTGCATCAGAAGAGTGCATTTCTGTTGCGTCCTGCTGTCTCCCAGGAGCTGCTGCTGGTTGGGGTCACAGGCCCAGTTGCCCTGAGCCCTCCCCCTTTGCAAGAGGGCAGGACAGGACCTAGCGGGCTGCTACACTCACTCTCTGCGCTGCTCAGCCAGCGAGCTGCCGCGGGTCAGGGCAAACATGTCAAACTCTTCTTCCAGCTTGCCAGAGGTGTCAAGGGAGTGCAGCCCCGCGCTTACGCTGCTCGAGCCCAGGTCTGTGGGAGAGAGAGCACGGTGAGCAGGCAGCACAGAGCACTAAACAGAAGGCTGTGGGCTTGGAGGGTGCTGGTGGAAAGTGAGCATCAGAACTGGCTACACTGCTCTAGGCCCACTCTTCTGCAGCACAGTCTATGCATGTGTGTAGTGTTGTAGCAGAAGCAGTTTCTTCGCCTGCTGAGCAGGTATTTTTAGCTTAATCTCAGGCAGCAGCATCAATTTACTGCACTGATGCTGAAGGCTAGATATTCCTGACCATTTAAGACAACTCAGAGGGAATTGCTCCATAACCTGTGGAAGAGGATAATCCGTGCTTCTGGGCAAGCATCTCTGAGACAGGTGAGTGGATTTTCATGACTCAGGCACCATCTGAAAAACCCTGACCTGAAAAAATAGCTCACCTGGCTTTGTAAAAACAGTCTTGCCAATTTTCTGTAGCTGCATCCAAAGCTGTACTAAATGTGTTCACAACTAGCAAGAGCTTCAGGCAGTGCTACATAGGCTGTTGGTAAGTCTTGAAGAACCCTCAGGATTTCTCAGACTTTCTAAGTAAACAACCTGTCATATCCTGGGTCCTGAGCCCAAGATGCTCATGGTTGCCCTTCCTGCACAGCTTAGCTGCTTGTTTTCTCCCAAACCTCAGTGGTCAGCCTGACACCACACGGCAAGAGAGGCAACTGCACTGCTGCTTGGCACTGCAGAGGGAGCAACTTTCTCCCCGACTCTGCTGGAAGACCCAGTACCTAGCCACAGACTAACACTGTGTAAATGACCTGCACAACGTTAGGTGTGGATGCTGAGACATATGCTTGTGTGTCTTGGGGCATATACAAGTTTCTTCATGAGTTTATGAGTCGACAATATATCCTTTTACTCTAGGTTATTTTGCGAATGTGGCTAAATAATCTGGGGAGGTCATTGAAGGGCATGAAAGGATCCCCCCAGCGGCACAGGAGAAGGACTGAGGGTAAGACAGCATGGTAACTTACTCATTCCAGCCAGCTGAGAAGAGAGGTTGTTGGTGACTTCAGTCTGCCTCACTGCAGAAGGAGTACTGGGTCCCAGGTCAATCAAGCTGTTCTCCGCCTCATTTGGTGCCTTTGGAGAAACAAAACAACAGGAAGATGACAGTTTCTGAAGCTTGGACCCTGACTCTTCAGTCCTAGCTCATGAACACTGCAGAGGGAAGCCCTTCTCATTGGAAGATACCAGTTGTGAAGCCTCTCCTTCTTAAAGGGGGAACAGTGATCAGAGAGAACAGGCTGGGAATAGTGTCCCAGGGCAGAGTATGCCTTCGTAACCAGTCTCACAGCTCTGCTGGATGCCAGAAAGTAGGGTAGGTGCTTGCTGGTTCAGAGGACAGGGCAATGCTCAGAGGACAAAGTGACGTTAATCTGGGAATTGGTCTTCTTAATGTTCAATATCAGAAAACCATAACTGCTGCTGGTCTCCTCTTGCTCTTTGGGTTGGAGGAAGGTTCCCACTGGTAGGGAGAAAGAGGCCAGCAATGGGAATGGGAGTGTACTGCACACCAGCATGGCCTGGTGCAGCTGGGATGGGAGAGAACAAGGGCTAGCAGGACACTGCTGGACCTGCAGGATGCAAACTGAGCTGCACAGAGGGGCAGTTGCTCTGAGTTACCTTAACTGGCTGTCCTGTCCGGAGGCGCTCGAACCTGCAAGAGAGAGGACAGGATGTGTTTCAGTAGCATCTGCTTATTCATCCCCAACCAAAGAGTTTTCTTATAAGGCTTGGCACAGCCTGCTCTTTCCTACAATGCTAGGAAAGGGGAACCATGGCTTAGGGCCTAATGTCCCCACAAGACCAAAGACACCACAACAAGGCCCTGAGAGTTGGTATCTCCTGAGAGATGGTATCTCCTGAGAGATGGTGTGAGGAAGCTTCTGTGCTCCTCCAGAGCTACTTTTAACCAAAATGGCTGAAATCCAGCTCTCCATACAGACACAGGGACTAAATTCTCCAGACTTCATCCTAGCTTAAGAGATGGGTTTGATGAAATGGAAATAAAAAGAAAGGAGTGCTGGTCCCCACCTGGAAAAGTCCTGTCTGTCCCTGTCTGCCTCAGAGCTAGAAACTCAGCTCCTTCCATGCAGTTCCCTCCTCCTTCTGGGTTATGCCACAGGGACATCTTTATAGTCCACCAGTAACTTACACAGGAGTTTTAATGGGACAAGAACAAATCAGCAAAACCTGAGAACTGGCTTTGTTCTCAAAGATGGCTCATACAGGCTGATACATCTTGGGTATTATACTCACGGGCAGATCAAAAGGGTGGAATCGAAGGCCATCAAGGGGCAGTAAACTCTTGTGTAAGAGCAGAGGAGAGAAGGAAAGAGAGGTACCTTTCATAGCGTAGAAACATGTTGTTAAGGTTGTCATTGATGAGGAGCAGCTCCTCAGTGAGTTGTTCATGGAGGACACGGGGAATCAGCTCCAGAACACGCAGCTGCATGGCTCTGCATGTCCGATTCAGCTCCTGCTCACAGCAAGGGGAAGTTACCACAAATGTCAGGCCAAGGCTGGACACTCACAGGTTTGGAAGTCTGACTGGGACAGACCCCAGAGGCTACTGGGGTCTATCAGCAAGTGTTGATGGGCAATAGGTATTGGTGTGAGAGGTAAACTGAGTCTGAGCTTTACAGACCACAATTGTATGCTTCTTGTGTAACACTTCACCCGGAAAAAAAGGCCCTTAGGAACTACAAATCCCCATATGAGATGATTCTACCCTCGATAGTGCAACTTCTCTTGTCTGTTAAAACTCCACCTTCCCTTTTTCTCCCTTATTCCATCATTCCCAGATAAGCCCCACACTAAATTCTCCAATTGTTCCCCACGCCTACCATGTGCCAGCCCTCTGCCCTGCCAGCATTCCTTACTTGCAGCAGCTCCAGGTCAGAAGGCTCGGCCTGGGTGGGCACCAGCTCCGTCAGCATCTCTGACATGACCTTCATGTTCCCATTCACCACTTCCAACTCACTGCGCAGCTTCCCAACCTGCAAAAGGGAGGGCAAATGACAGCTCTGCCTGGGAAGATGAGGAAGATAGCTAAGGAAGCTCTGAATGGCAGTGCACCACTTGTGTGCATGTGTTCGCAGAGCCGAGCGGCCACTGGAGAGCTCTTTTGTTACTATTCAGTTTAGCTCTCGGGAGCTCCCGCCAGAAGGAAGCTCCATTACTTACCATCAAGTTCATCTGCTGGTTACAGATGTTAAGCTCTCACTTGGGATCTTTGGACACTAGCCTAGCCTTGATTTTTAATAGCCAGCACAGGCTGCTGTTATGATTCATACTTCTCCCCAGCTAGCACCTCCTGTGTGGCAGCCACTCAAATAATTTCATTTCCAAAGCAGTGTAAAAGGCAGGAGGGGGAAATGAATTCCCATTCAAAAGGCAAACTTTAACGAAGTGTGCAGTTGAAGCTTTAACCCTCTGGTTTCACAAGCTGCTAATGAGTGTCTTGAGAATGGTTTCTACCCTCTGTTCTGCAAAGTACCAACAGCTGGAGGTTTGGTGCTGAAGTCATATGAAGTCAGGGTGAGGAAGAAGAACAGAGGATGGGAAACAACTGAGAAAGCCGTGGCCTTTGGAAACCACATAGCCAGATAGGGTTCATTCATCTTAAGTCAGCAGTGAGGCAAGATAAAGATGATAAAGAGTTATCTACTGAGCAAGCTTTTGCTACACAACATTACAAAAACCTCGCTCAAACCCTCTGTGTCTCAGTTTCCCACTTCCCTGTAGCCAGGAGATCTTCCCTCTACCTGCCAGCAGTCTTGTCTTAAGAAAACACAACCACTCTGTTTGTGGTATCCCAGCTTATCCCCATAGCCACAATGGAGCTCTGGGGAGCTCTGGAGGGACTATACTTTAGAGGAATCGCTCCTTGAGGACAGAGTGTGGAATAATTATTGAATATATCTAAA